TTTCCATTCTCTTTTTCATGCAATTTCATGTGAACTAGAAATCTCCAAAAGCATAATTTCGATGTGCTTAAAATTTGCCAATTTATTTGTGCAGACTACTCTTATTAAGGCAGTAGTAGCGTCTACTTAAATAAAAAATAAAAAAAACATGTGCAGTAAGGTTAATCTGCTGGGTCTTATCCAAGATTTACCGATATTCTAGAAGACCTACTTTATCACAGGTTGAGTTGTCTCATAAACACGACCTACCGCAATTACGATCGTCTTCTGTTCTTCACTCGGTCCACCGACGTCTTCGAGACAGCCACGCCTTTTGACGGCGCCCGCCCAGCGGACTGCCTCGAGACTTCGAACCCTTCGGCGAGGTCTGCTGGTAGTTGCTAGTTTCGACGGCTTCAACGCCTCCACATTCATCGTGTCCATTTCACCGATTCGCGGCGTGTCCGCAGGCACATGACGTCCCATTTGTCTGCTCTCCGGCAACAGACAACAGCCTCTTTCGTCCGACCATCTGTTGTCGGTTGCCATACCGACCAAAGGACTTGACGGTGGAGTGACCGGCGTCTCCGAACGGCGAAGTCCGGCCTCTGCAGAAGGCAGGCCTTTAGTCTCGGAACTCTTCATCACTTGACCTCGGCCATCCTCCAGGTAGTCGTGTCGGGACCTGCCTCCCGGACCCATCTGCCCTCGGTTTCGCCACGAGCCGGTGCTTTACGCTCACCGCTCGACGTCCATTCGTTGTGAGAAAAGGCAGACTTGCATAGCCGTACATGTGGGCACAGTTGCCAGCCTTTTGTGGTCGACGCGAATGGCGAGGAGAAAGTCAGAGTTGGTGCACAATTTTGGGCCTATCATTCGTCTCGCATCAGCAACAAATGGACAAATGTACTTGAAGACTGGCTTGAATCGTGTCCTCTTCTCGCAGAGCCCCCAGCAAATCCGATGAGGGCTATTCTGGGACTCGCTCCTTGCATTGCCTCTGCGCCCAAGAGACCCGACACTCGATGATAAAGCACGCTTCGGCACAACTAGATTTACGTGTCTCTTGTAGCTCTCCAGTTTGTCTACCCTTGCGTCTCGATTGTAGCCGGACACATTCTTCGCCTCGCACCCAACCAATCACTTCAGGTGGGTCACACATGCTGCGCCTCATTAACCACTGCCGATATTCCAGACAGAGACGAAAGCCAAAAGATTAAGAGACAGACATACAACAATAATAGAGCAAAAGTAATATATGGCGGATGCTTTGACCGAGCCACTTGGTTGACAAGGCATAATTTTTCAGAGAAGATGCTTAAATTCAAATGATTTCATCTACTCAGCCTAATCAAGAAGAAGTGATTTAAGTGATCGTAAGAAGCACTGCTTCAAAGCTCAAGATGCTCAACTAGGATGAATATTATTGTATAATAAGCCTATACTACTAGTACAAACAAGTAGTATATATCAACAAAATTTAAAATAACCGGCAAATGAAAGATGATATATAGATTACCGAATTAAAATGACTGGGGTTAATGTGCCTAGATGAAGAAGCGTCATAAATACGGAGAAAATGCGGGTTTACAAGAATCTCCAACAAAAAAGCGCCATTTAAATGATATTCCTAAAGTTGCGTCTTGTTTTCGTCCCACATAATTCAGCTCATGGCATCAGCTTCTCATTGGTACAAGGGCTAGTGCAACGAGTGGTGCTATGGGGTTTGTTATATGTGAGGATAGAAAAAGGCCACATTATAACTCCGATGGGGCAAAATTATAAAACTACAAAGGGGGAATGTATAATGGAACAGCTTTATAATTCAATGTAATTTAAAAAATATATTACTAATCCTCATGTTTATAGGTCGTTTTGTCCAGAAGGCAAATTCAGATTCTCGTTTTTCGGCGGTCTTTTTAATGAGCTCGACAACATCGTATAGTGTCTATTGGCTGGCTCCTTCAAAGATCGTGGGCTAATAAAAAGTCAGGAATACCAATCGTACCCCTGTCTCACAGCTAATATTCAATCACATTAATAACAAATGTGTTAAATACCAAAATATAGAAGTTGTTTGACCTTGTTTTCGCAACTTGGTCATATTGGTAAGAAGACTTAGAGGAACGCACCTAGTCCGGGGTCCATTGTATGCATCATCATTTCCAGAGTAGGACCGTGGACATGGTAAAAAATAAAGAATTTAATAAAAGACGATATAGAAGTGGGTTGACCTCGTTGTCGCAACTTGGTCTTGTTGTCAGGGTGACAATGTAGAACGCACCTAGTCCGAAGTCGTTTGCCATAGTAGTTGTCATGACTCCCAGCATCTGACAATGGACTTGATACATTCTCAAACGTTTCGCCGGTAACGTAGTCCCACTGCCGCCCTATCACAACTTTTCACTTGATACATTCCAATCATCAAAATGTGTGCCCTCGGCCACACTCGGCTTGCCACAAAATGGCACACACTTTGATGATTGGAATGTAACAAATGAAAAGTTGTGATAGAACGGCAGTGGGATAAGAGGGTAAAGAGTAAATAGATAGACAATGACAGAAAGAGGAGTGATAGTGTAACCGTTACAGCAGAACGGTTGTCGAGGCATTGACTTCACTTGTCTCTTTGACGAGTTCGTAGCTTGGTACGGAGAATGGCAAGACTCACTGATGATGCCGACTACGTTGCCGGCGAAAGGTTTGAGAATGTATCAAGTCCCTTGTCAGATGCTGGGAGTCATGACAACTACTATGACAGACGACTTCGGACTAGGTGTGCTCCATATAGTGGCCTTGACAACAAGACCAATTTGCGACAACGAGGTCAACCCACTTCTGTCAATCGAAAGGAGACTGCGACAGCACCAGAGGCCACAACATCTTGGCCTTCATACATTCCAAAGACGATATAGCCTGACTTTTTTTAGTTTTCTTACTTGTCACAATATAAGTTCGTTTTATTAAAGGTGAAATAACTCTAGAA